CCAAAGTTGTGGCAAAATGGCTTAAGGACATCAAAGTCAAGGTATTGGAGTGGCCATCGCAAAGCCCTGACCTCAATCCTATAGAACATTTGTGGGCAGAACTGAAAAAGCGTGTGCGAGCAAGGAGGCATTCAAACCTGACTCAGTTACACCAGCTCTGTCAGGAGGAATGGGCCAAAATTCACCCAATTTATTGTGGGAAGCTTGTGGAAGGCTACCTGAAACGTTCGACCCAAGTTAAATAATTTAAAGACAATGCTACCAAATACTAATTGAGTGTATGTAAACTTCTGACCCACTGGGAATGTGATGAAATAAATAAAAGCTGTAGAGCTTCACTCTACTATTATTCTGACATTTCACATTCTTAAAATAAAGTGGTGATCCTAATTGACCGAAGACAGGGGATTTTAACTAGGATTAAATGTCAGGAATTGTGAAAAACTGAGTTTAAATGTATTTGGCTAAGGTGTATGTAAACGTCCGACTTCAACTGTACATTATGTCGACTTTGGTGTCTATTTCAGACCTTTTTCAGACTTATGGCATTTTTCAAGGATGAGCATAAGAGCAATAAAATGGGAGAAGACCACTATAAGTCTGTCCATGTGGAGAGGTGCAGCTATAGTTAGGGGCAATTTATCGGTTTGGTCAGGGCCAGCATGAGGGTACTGCAGTGACGTCTAAAATTGTTTGAATTAATCAGCACCTTGGAGAGTGCTGTCCGTTTCATCACCATAGACAGTAGGCTACTTGGCTGTTTACTCTGTCTGCTGCGCTGCAACGTTGTGTTTGACACTTTTTTTCTCAACGTGTTTCCTCCCTCACAGTAGGCTGATTGGGTGGCTCCTCACTCAGGTCGTCACCGCTTTCCCCTCCTCCTCATAGTCTGAGATGTACAATGAGCTGATCAATGAAGTTATTTTCCCCACCGGATTTCTCATTGTGACAAATGGACCAAAGATAGGGGTCTTTTGGTTAGGGACACCCGAGTGCTGTTGGTCCATGTCCTCAGGCTCTGGGCCCGGTTGCATAAAACACCTTAAGTTAATTTTCCCCCTTAAACTTGGCTTTTCTCTAAGTGGATTGCATAAGGGATTTCTTAAAAAGAATGTCATATTTTCCTTAAGTTTCCCTTAAATATGAATTCACACTTAAGGTTAACCTTAACTAATTTGACAGTTGCAAAAAAGACTTTAAGGGCACATTTGACATAATAAACTTAAGGTACCTTCTGAGCTCCCTTTACTGCTAGCTACATTTTGAGACCATGGCTGAATATATTATCATGTCTGATGATGAAGAACAACAGGAAAGCAATAACATTTTCAATGAAGGTATTTGGCTGGCGGCAGGTAGCCTGGCGAGTAGGAGCGTTGGGCCAGTAACCGAATGGTTCCTGGACCAAATCCCAGAGCTGACAACGTAAATATATGTCGTTTCCCCTGAGCAAGGCAGTTAACCCACTGTTCCCTGGGCGCTGAAGACGTGGATGTCAAAAGGATCGGACCCAAATCTAACTGCCTGTAGCTCAGGACCTGAAGCAAGGATATGCATATTCTTGATGTCATTTGAAAGGAAACACTTTGACATTTGTGGAAATGTGAAATTAATGTAGGAGAATATAGCATATTAGATCTGGTAAAAGATAATACAAACAAAAAAACGTTTATTTTATTTTTCTATTCATCTTTGAAATGGAAGAGAAATGCAGACAGTGATGTAGGATTCTAGATGTAATTTAGATGTTGTCCATCAGATGGCAGCATTGTGTGTGCAAAGTTTCAGACTGATCCAGTGAAGAATTACATCACTACACAATATTTTGTATCAAGTCTGCCAGGAGTTTTCCCAAATGTGCCAAATTTGTTTTAAAGTACATAACTATAGAGAACATACAAAAATGCTATGGTAATACAACATTTAAGATTGCACACTTCCAGGAATGTCATAAATGATGGATCATTAGCTTCCCTACATAAAATAAACTAACCTTCATCTAGATGGAGGTGGGTATGGAGTCAGAGGTCAAACTGTAGAACCCAGTTCCTACATTTGAATATACACATTTATTTTTCAAACAAAACTACACTACATTTGGATGACTACACTACCCTCAGGATGACAAATCAGAGCAAGATTACTGAATGTAAGTACATTATTTACCTTCAGAGGTTAATGTACCAAACCAGTTGCCATGATAAAAGTGTTTTGTTGTTGTGCACTATCCTCAAACAATAGCATGGTATTTTTTAGCTGTAATAGTTACTGTAAATTGGACACTGCAGTTAGATTAACAATAATTTAAGCTTTCTGCACATAGAAGACATGTCTATTCTTTACAACACCATTCTAGTCACATATCGCATATTGAGCAACAACGTCCCGTATAAGGGACACCGATCCCGTAGAGGTTAAGGCAGCCCTCCGCACCTCTCTGATTCAGAGGGGTTGGGTTAAATGCAGAAGACACATTTCAGTTGAATGCATTCAGTTGTACAACTGACTAGGTATCTCCCTTTCCCTATTTAGGGATCGAGGAAATCCCATGGATACTATGTCTGATGGGCAATTACTTACAGAAATGTTGCAAAAGCAACAAGGAACCATGCACTGCTGCCAGTGCTCCAGGTGTTAATGGCCATGTGTTTCTTCACTACAGGAAGTTTCCAGTCAGTGATGGGTGAAGTATTTCGTGTCCACAAGTCATCTGTGTGTAGGGTTGTGCACAGAGTCACGAAAGCCTTGTGTCAGAAGATGAGGAGGTTAATCAGAATTCCCACCCAGGCCGATCAGAACATCCTACAGAGTTCCACGGCATAGCAAGGTTCCCATGAGTCTGTGGCGCAATTGATGGGAGCAATCCCAATGACCGTGAAGTCACTTATGTCAATAGAAAGAACTACCACTCCATCAACATACAAGGCATTTGTAACCCAGATGGCAAGTTTCTAAACATTGTTGCCTCTTGGCCTGGCAGCATGCACGATGCCAGGATCTTGCATGAATCGCAGATTGGTAAGGAGTTTGAGGAGGGCAGACACAGAGGAATACTGATTGGAGACAGTGAATAAATACCCTTGCCGTCCGTGGCTGATGACACTATTCTTGAATCCTGCCAACCCCTCTCAGGTAAATTATTATACAGTAATACCCTTTGCTCAACTAGGAGCAACAGCGGAATGAATACAATTATAGCCTTTGGCAGTATGGTCAGGCTAGAGTAGCCTTTCTCATTTGAAGCTAGTCCCTGCACAGTTTTTGAATAGTTTCTTAGAATCACATACAAGATGTACCGTACATGTTTTGCAAGATAGTACCCCAGGTACAGTGACAGTAATGACATTATTCTCAATTGATTCAAATTAAACTGGTATTTCAATGTAAATGTTCCATTCTTTTTTACATTAATATTCTAGTCCAAGTCAATATTTAAAAGTATATTTTCGCCTTAGTCTTCTAGTTTTGTGTGCCAAAGGTTTATTATGTCTAGTTTCATAACCAAGGTCCCCTGTAGCTCAGCTGGTAGAGCACGGCGCTTGTAACGCCAGGGTAGTGGGTTCGATCCCTGGGACCACCCGTACACAAACATTTATGCACGCATGACTGTAAGTCGCTTTGGATAAAAGCGTCTGCTAAGTGGCATATTATATTATATATAACCGATTTCTGGGGTCTTATAGGGATGAACAGTGAGAGAGATATTGCTTTTTAACATTCTTGTCTTGGAGCAGCAGAGACCATTGATGTGTAATCTGTCTCTCTCATGAATGGTGGTATCTGTTAGGGGTAGAGTTGCAAAAATCTGGTAACTTTGAGACATTCCCATGAATCAGGAGGGAATAAGCAGGAAATCCGGAATCCTCCAACTAGGATTTCTGGAATATCTGGGAATTTTGGGAAAGTTACTGGATTTTTGCAACCTTACCCACTGGGCAAAAACTGGATGAATCAACGTTGTTTACATGTCATTTCAACCCCAAGTCATCAACTTAAGGGCATTTTGTAATTTTTTCACCCAACTTTTTACCTAAATCCAATGACATGGTGAATTTTTCTTGATCATTTGATGATGAATTCATGTTAGTTGCCAACTCAACCAGAATTGAAAATCTAGACATTGAACTGACGTCTGTGCCCAGTGTGTAGATAGGGAAATATTTTAGGGTGTTCAATTGCAGTTTATCCACTGATGGAGCTCTTAGACCTGTGGTTTGATGATAACCTCAGAGTTCCACCTCATGATCCCCGGGACCACCCATACGTAAAAATGTATGGGCACATGACTGTAAGTCGCTTTGGATAAAAGTGTCTGCTAGATGGCATATTATTTATTATATTATATCCTCTGGTATTGATAAATCCTGAACAATCTTAGTTTACAGTAGATGATTGAAAGATAAGTGGCTGAGCTTATAATATATATTGTCTTGGTAATTTACTGCAATATCATGTTTGTTTTTTTACGTGACGATTATATTTCATCAATTTAAGATGCGTTAGGTTAATTAAACGTGGAACAAAAGGGCAGAGGACATTGTCTCCCTGAGCACCTAGATCAGGGTTGTAGACATAGGTAGCTAGTGATGTAACTTATTAAAATAACTACAGAATGATCCTCTGTAAATGTGCCCATTATGTGATGCTGACATAGTGTAGTTAGTAGAAACAATTGAAAACTGATGTCAATAAATGTATTTTTCAATGAGACCAGTTTGTGTGAGTGTATATTCTGTGTATATTCTGAGTGTTCCGCACATTGTCAGAAATTGTACAGTGACCCAGTGAGGTAGGATATACAGTATAATTGATTGTCTACCTGTTGTAAATGGTTGATATTAATACAACTTTTGGCAAGAGGTTTATTTGTGGTTCTCTCTCAAGAAAAACCAATAGGGATGTGTGTACCTCATTACATCTCCTTTATAAACAGTGTGACAGTGTTCCCCTCAGCCCACAAGAGGGCATCAGAGCATGTACTGTATCTTCACTGCGCTTGAGAGAGAAAGAGGGACAGGAGAGATTTCCTTTTCCCATTTTTCCTTTCTTCGCTTTTCCCTTTTTCACTGGGGAGGAGGATGGAGCTGCTAATCTAAACACTGCTGCAGAGTTCCAGACAGCGTAGCACCCAGGTCTGATTTCTCTCTCCTGCTGGGTTCCTCTTGCTGCTCCTCTGGCCCTATCGTGCCCCTCTAGACCCCATCGCTTCCCCCTTGCCTTCCGCTCCGTCCCGTCTGCTGACCATGAAGCTCTGCTGGGTCCTCCTAACTCTGGCCATCTTCTGGGTGGAGCTCCAAAATGGTGAGTAACTTTCTGATCCTCCATGCCTCTCCTCCATGTCTGTTTGTTCTTTGCGTTTTAAGTTTGAATACACAGTGATATATGTTGATTCCACCATAACTGCTTTGCTGTAATCTGAGAGCAGCCTTTGGGATTTGATAATCTTATAGTTTTGTCAAATCTGAGTTGATATTGGAGTTTAGTACCACAGTGATGGGAGTGCGGGGGAGAAGCATAGTCTGTGTGCCAAGTGAATATCATTTACCTAAAGGATAAGACAGTGACAGCAGTGATTTTAGAAATCACATAAGACTTTATGCAGCAATAGCCAAAGTATTTTTTACTGTGGTGTTTGGTCTCTCTGGAAAGACTTGCACAATAATAAATATTTCATAAATCTTATGAAATACAGGTAACTGCCAAAATAAAGGAAACACGGGCCACCTTGGCATATATTCTACAAGTGTCTGGAACACTATAAGAGGGATGTGACACCATTTTTCCACAAGAAATTCCATAATTTGGTGTTTTGTTGATGGTGGTGGAAAACGCTGCCTCAGGCGCCGCTCCAGAATCTCCCATAACTGTATCATTGGGTTGAGATCTGATGACTGAGAAGGCCATGGCATATGGTTTAGATCAGGGGTGTCAAACGTCCGGCCCGCGGGCCGGATCAGGCCCGCAAACGGGTTTAATCCGGCCCGCGAGATGATTTTGTAAAGTATAAAAATGAGCTGCAATTTTTCAATAAAAGAAACTGCTGTTCCAATTGTGTCCACTGGATGGCGCAATAGCAATTGTGTTAAGCAAGCAAACTGTTTATACCGGGGCAGAGTAAATAGGTCAAGCAAGTGCAGCCAGTCCGGATGAGCTACTTTGTTTTGCCCGCGATATTTATTACGGCTTCTACTTTTAACATTATGTGCTTTGGCACCCTCATTGCCCCAATATGTCTCTGTCAAAAAAGAGAAAAGTGGACGGAGTGCAGAGTGTTCCAAGAAAAATTGTCATCCTTCTATTTATTCACGGAATTGAATGGGAAAGCTGTATGTTTGGTGTGTTCACAGCATGTTGCAGTGCTGAAAGAATATAACCTTCGTCGCCACTATGTGAGTCTTCATGCCGACAAATATGACAACTTTCAAGGACAGCGGAGAAGAGAGAAGGTGAATGAACTGTTGGTGGGTCTGAAGAAACAGCAGTCTGTGTTTACTCACAGCCGAGACATCAGTGACGCTGCAGTGAAAGCTAGCTACCTCATTGCTAATGAAATCGCAGTGGCTTCAAAACCATTTAGTGAGGGTGAATTTGTAAAAACATGCATGATGAAGGCAGCAGAGATTGTGTGCCCTGAAAAGCACCAGGCTTTTGCAAATATCAGCCTGACAAGAAACACAGTTGCAGACAGGATTTCCAATCTTTCAGTGGATTTGGACAGCCAGTTGAAGCAAAAAGTAAAGTCATTTATTGCGTTTTCGGTTGCAATTGATGAAAGCACGGACATTACAGATGTTGCACAACTGGCCATTTTCATCCGCGGAGTTGATGACACATTGACCGTCACCGAGGAGTTCGTGGAGTTGGTGCCGATGACTGATACAACGACAGCAGCTGATATTTTCACTGCACTCGTCGGCGCGCTGGACAGGGTCGGAGTGGACTGGTCCCGCGCTGTCAGCCTGGCTACAGATGGTGCGCCCTCAATTATCGGGAAAAAAGCAGGCGTTGTGACAAAGTTCAGAGAGAAAGTGCAATCTGCAAATGGAGGATGTGAATTTTGGACTTTTCACTGTATTTTGCACCAGGAGGCTTTGTGTTGCAAGTCATTAAAGATGGATAACGTCATGAAGGTGGTCATCCAAACTGTTAATTTCATCCGATCCAGAAGCCTGAATCACCGTCAGTTTGACAGCCTTCTCAGAGAGAAAGACCACATCTATGGCCTGCCATACCACACTGAGGTAAGATGGTTAAGCCGAGGTGCTGTGCTGAGGCGTTTCTTTGATTTACGAGAAGAGATTGAACAGTTCATGGAAGAAAAGGGTAAACCAGTGTTAGAATTTAATTCCGCAGAATGGATGCAGGACCTTGCATTTATGGTGGATGTTACAGAGCACCTGAATAACTTGAACAAACAGCTGCAAGGGCGCAACAAAGTTGCCACGCAGTATTATGACAGCATACGTTCTTTCAAGTTGAAGCTGTCATTGAGGGAGACGCAACTCGCCGGTGGTGATGCAGCTCACTTCCCCTGTCTGAAAAATGTGTGCGCGACCCAACATGTGGCAGACATGAAGCGGTTCAAAGATAAAATAACGGGACTGTTAAGGGAGTTTGAGCAACGCTTTCAGATTTTTGGTGAACTGGAGAAAGACTTCAACGTTTTTTGTTCGCCATTCACCGTGAATCCCTCTGATCTGCCCGTCAGCATCCAACTTGAAATAATAGACTTGCAGTGTGACTCGGATTTGAAGGGCAAATTTGCCGCAGCTGGCTTGGACACATTTTATCAGAATCTCTTGCCAGGTTACCCCAACTTGACAGCCCTCGCTGCAAAACTGTTGTGCATGTTTGGAACCACATATCTTTGTGAGCAAGTTCTCTGTAATGAGCATAAATAAAACAAAGCTGCGCTCAAGACTCACGCACAAGCACTTGAATCACATCCTGAAGTTGGCTGCCACTCAGGATGTGACGCCTGATATTGATGCGCTGGTGAAAGCTAAAAGATGCCAGGTATCAGGAGTCAAATAAACTATGCAACCCCACTTAAAGTGCTGCATGAGACACCCTGATATAGTTCTGTGATCTGTGATATACTTCTGTGAATCACTGAGGCATTGTGTGTTTGTGTGTTGTTTGTCCTCAGAATTTCAAATAACTTGAGGTGTTTTATGATTAATAGTGATGTTGTGCTTTTGGACACACTGTCCTCAGGCTCCAGCTTTATGTTTATATGTTTTTATGTTGATGTGCTATTGTTTTTAATTGATTTTATTTTATTTGTATATTTAACCTATTCTTGACTCTGTGGTTCTTGCACTTGTTTGGGGAACAGGATTTCATTATTTGTATCTACATTTCTGCCTGAGAAATGACACCCTGATATAGTTCTGTGATCTGTGAAACAGTTATGTGAATCACTGAGGCATTGTGTGTTTGTGTGTTCTTTTTCTTTAGAATTTTCAAATAAACTTCAGGTGTTTTATGATTAATAGTGATGTTGTGCTTGTACTATTTTGGACACAATGTCCTCAGGCTCCAGCTTTATGTTTTATGTTGATAGTATTAAAACAAAGAAAACAATCTGAAGTTGTTGTTTTTAAGTTATATATACCATGATTTTACCGGTCCGGCCCACTTGGGAATAGATTTTCCTCCATGTGGCCCCTGAGCTAAAATGAGTTTGACAGCCCTGCACTATACAGACACGTACACGTGGATTTTGTGTTGTAGATATGTGGTTGTGGAGTAGGGGCCTGAGGGCACACACTTAGTGTGTTGTGAAATCTTTTATGAATGTAATGTTTTAAAAACTGTGTAACTGTTAATTTTGCCAGACCCCAGGAAGAGTAGCTGCTGCCTTGGCAACAGCTAATGGGGATCCCTAATAAATACAAAATACAAATACAATCACCTCATGTTTCAGCATGATAATGCACAGCCCCATGTCGCAAGGATCTGTACACAATTCCTGGAAAATGTCCCAGTTCTTCCATGGCCTGCAAACTCACCGGACATGTCACCCAGTAGGTTTGGGATGCGCTGGATTGACGTGTATGACAGCCTTTTTCAGTTCCCGCCAATATCCAGCAACTTCGCACAGCCATTGAAGAGGAGTGGGACAACATTCCCACAGCCACAATCAACAGCCTGATCAACTCGATGTGAAGGAGATGTGTCGCGCTGCATGAGGCAAATGGTGGTCACACCAGATACTGACTGGTTTTCTTATTTGTGACCAACAGATCTGTATTCATAGTCATGTGAAGTCTATAAATTAGGGCCTAATGAATTCATTTCAATTGACTAATTTCCTTATATATGATCTGTAACTCAGTAAAATCTTCAATTGTTGTTGTGAAAACTCTATGTTTTCCTATCGTTTTTTATGTATTTTCCTATGTTTTTTTCAGGGTTTCACTCTCAAAATCACACTTTTTTATACATAAATTACAAAAATTGGACGTTGTAAGTCCACAACAATGCTTAAACCACATCAGATACCATTTTTAATGTCTGGGAAAAAATACATACATTTGGGAGGGTATAGTTGCCCAATTCAAATGTGCACCTAGCAAGAGACCATTTGGCTAGTGGTGTTTCTGTACTGTACAATGTAAAAAACAAATGCCCTCCCGATTGATACAAATCATCATGATATCATTCAGCCAGGTAGGCTTACTTTGCAGTCAACATTTAATTGGGAAGGTTTTTTGGGAAAGTCGTTAGACATGTTCATTCAAACAGCACATGAATACTGAAAAAGTCGGAGCTCTAGAAAGAGGCCCATGTTCCCGAGTTGGAATTCCAAGTTGGATGACCTTTCAAATACATTTTTCCCAGTCGGGCTTGTTTTTTTCTGAGTTCCCAGTTGTTTTGAATACACTAAGGTCGGAAGTTCGAGATTTCCAAGTTCCGAGTTCCTAGTTGTTTTGAACGCTTCATAAGCACACGGGGAGCTATTCAATATTCAAAATAACGTCACAGTGTGACGCATGGGTGCATCAATCATTGGCAGCAGCATTTAACAGGGATGGGCACAATTGATGGGGTGGGGGCCACAAAAAAACTGAACTCATCGTGAGGGCCCGCAGTGGCCCTTGAGTCTGCGTACCCACATCCGCACCCACCCCCCCCCCCCCCCCCCCCCCCCACCCCCACCTTGTGAGCAAAACATTTTAGCGGCCCCCCTCGTGACAGCGAAGAGAAACAATTTAAGTTTTAAAGTTCATTTCCTGGAATTCTACACATCTTTCCATGGGGCAGAGAAGATCTGGCAATTGTATAACTAATTTCATGCAATTCTACTCATTTTGCCATGGGGAAGAGACAAAAATTGACAGTTTTACAGCAAATTTCCTGCAGTTCTACATATTTTACCATAGGGTGGGGGCAAATGTTTGCAGTTTTTAATATGATAACTGATGATCAATGGGCCCCACCCCGGTCGGTAATTCGACCATGCTTACTACAAGTTTAGATAGCTGGCCACTAGACTAATTTACCAATCTAAAATAAATTAGCTGACATGGGTTAATTGAGTGACTGCTGATGCACAACCACAGGCCTACTAAAGGGCCAGTTGCCCATCCCTGATTTAGAGCACGTAACAGGTGTTATCAATTAACCTGCTTTTAATTTTAGAGATCTTTGCTTTCAAAATGTCTAATACAGAACAAATGAAACAAACAATGAGCTGAAATATCATCACTCGTAAGTCTGAACAATTACGCTGTTGACAAATCTCTTTTCCTACAATATACCTGCGATATATTTTGTCTGGAACATACCCCTTATCAACTTAAACTAACCCCAAAATAACAGAATCAACATATTGTCACGACCGTCTTGAAAGGGAGCAGACCAATACGCAGCGCGTTGAGTGAACATGATGACTTTAATGAGTACAGCACGTAAATACAAAACAAAAGACGATAGTGAAGTCCAACAGTGACAATGACTGTACATGGAACAAAAACCCACAACCACAAGGTGAAAACACACAGAATAAATATGGCTCCCAATCAGAGATAACGAGCCGACAGCTGACACTCGTTACCTCCGATTGGGAGTCACTGACCAAACACGGAAACAAAACCAAAACCAAACACAACAAATGAACACACCCTATACCCAACACAACCAAATGAATACACCCTGGCTCAAACAACACAGTCCCGGAGCCAGAGCGTGACACATATCCATAATTTATATCAAACTATCTATCACACTAAATGCAATAGACTGTAGACATATGTGAGTTGGAGTTGTTGAGGTCTGGACATTTTGTGCCAGTAATGAAAACCCCCATGTTTCCTGTGCTGCTGTTGATACAGATGTGTGGTATTGAGTAGCTTTCCAGATGGGCACGCTGCACTGTTCACTACTACTCTGACTGACTCTGTGGAGGTGTGTCAGTCCACAGTGGGACTCTGACACGTCTGTGGACGCATGAAGGGGTCATTGTTATTACTGTTCTAACCCCCCTTCCATCCCTCTCTGCTGGTTTAGGCGCCTGCCAGCAAGTCAAGCGTAGGAAGGAGGCGGGAGAGAACCGCATCAGGCCTGGAGGCAAGCGGGCCAAGGTTCGCTACCCCAAACTGAACGAAAAGGAGAAGGATGCAGGAGGAAGAGGCCAGTCCATCCTGACCCAGGTTCTGGATAAGGGCCGTTTCCTGAGGCTGGGAGAGAGCATGAGCCTCACCCCGGGGAAGAACATAGAGCTGCGTTGTAAAGGCAGTAACATTGGCTGGTCCTACCCTACCTACCTGGACACCTTCAATGACTCCCGACTCAGGTGACCTGAAGGCTGCATCTCAAATTGCTCCCTATTTAGTGCACCACAGGGACCTTAGGGCTTTGGTCAAAAGTAGTGTGCCATTATATAGGGTGTGACTTGGGACGAAGCCATTGATTAAGAGATCACTTGTTTAGTCTCAAATCACTATGCCTCCAGCTGATAGTAACCTAACAATGATCTGTAATGTCATTGTGTTCCCTTTCTTTCACTCCCACCATACAGCATCAAGCAGAGTGACAAGTACAGCCAGTTGATCCTGACGTCACCCTCTGCTGCCGACACAGGGGCGTACAGCTGCTGGGTCATACTTTGTGACGGATCTGAGTGTCTCAAAGACCCCGACCGCACCTCCAGCACTTACATCTACTTCACAGGTGAGCAGGGTGCCTCTACTGTAACACTATTTACTGTTTATACTTGATGAACCTAACAACACTTCAGAGACAATTTTATCGCTGCCATTCAGACTATATAAAAATGCTTTACCTCACTTCAAAATCATCATTACCCTCGTCCCCCCTTCCCCTCCAACCAGACAAGGACGAACTCTTCGTCCCCTCTGCCATCCACTTTGAGATCATCTACCTGCGTCCGGACAAGCCTGCTGTTATCCCCTGTCGTGTGAGCAGTCATCTGGCCAAGGTGTCTCTGCACAGAGAGGTCCCCCCAGAGGAGATGGAGGTGGACGGGACACTTGTCTCCTATGACCCAACCAAGGGCTTCATCCTCCAGAAGCCCAGTCCAGAGCACCAGGGAGTGTTTTACTGTAAGGCCGTGACCAAAGCCACCCCACAGATCTCCACCAAGTACCAGCTGCTTTACGTGGAGGGTAGGAATTTAGCAACCGTGCACCATCACACACACACAGAAAAAACATTTGTTGTCAATAGATCACAATACTGAACATTTGTTGTCAATAAATCACAATAGGGAATAATGATTGTCAATAGATCACAATACTTGTGCTCACACTAACATAAGTTGCTGGTCAGTAGACCCAAAAAGTAAAAATAAAAAAAGTTAAATAAAATCTACATTATAGCCCCACAGATGGGAATGTGATGTATCTAATTTGAATTACTTTACACAATAGCTGAAAGGCAAAGCCATTTCACAATTACCACATGAATTGATTCGAGGTGTACCTCCCTATGGGCCCTGGTCAAAAAGCAGTCCACTATAAAGGAAATAGGTTGCCATTTGGGACGCAGACTTCGTCTGATGTGCATCATCGGCTTCCAGGAATAGAGTGTATTTCACTGAGTTATCGAAAGGCTGTTCCATGGTACGGTAGGGCTCTTTGTTTAATTGGACTTGTGCCTATGGCAGTGGAGACATGGACTCGCTTTGGCTGCTTTAAGTGGGTTCGATCAGTGGTGAATTTATGAAATGCAAACTGTGTGTGTGTGGTCAGGTGATATCAAATCTCTCACTTCAGCTTTGACAGGCAGGTGGAAAATAGGATTAAGGTTTAGGTTGACCAAGTATGTTTACAATCCTATAGATTAGAAAATATACTATACTTTACTATAGAAGGTACAGTATATTTTTTGTCTTACTTCAACGATCACTGACAACTAGAAATGTGTTCTGTCCTAAAGCAGTCAGTGACAGCTGTAACCACATCTGGACAGCACTTGGTCAATAAAATGGTTTGTCCCATAGAGACCCTATAATAAATGTCCTATTTAGTTATGTGGTTTGTCCTTCCTTAACTCTGTTGACAGTGCCCAGTGGCCCACCCTACGTTACCATTGAAGCTTCCTTTTCCTCTGCGAGAGGAGGAGACAATATCAACATCACCTGTACTGTCCTGGGGGAACCAGAGGTGGACCTCAGCTTCACATGGACCTATCCTGGCCAGGTAAACTGGATGTCACCCTTTCTCAGTGATGCTTGATGCTTCATCTGTGTGCTTCATCTCTTAAGCTTGTGAAATAGGTATTTTGACCTCAATGGGGAATTCCTGGTTAAATAAAGAATAAAAAGGTTACATAAAATCTTTCCACACTCTACATTGCACCCTCCTTTGTTATCTCGCTCCTGTGAAATGGCTCAATCAATCTCCTTTTGGAGGTATAATTCTGACCCAGTTCTTTCTTTCTCTATGCTCTGTTCAGGACCTCCGTCCTGTTAGTGTGCATGACTCATGGAGGCTGATCAACAGAGGAATGGGACACACCACCCGCATCTCCCAGAGCGTCATGACCGTAGATGACCTGGAGACCATCGACTTTGGGAGATACATCTGCAGAGCGAAGAACAAGCACGGGGAGACCGCAGTGGCCACCAGCGTCAACTCTTACTAGCCAGACAGAGCAGGAGAGAAGACTTATAACCTCCATAGGCAACGTTCCACTTAGGTGGCAATTTCACATTTTTCACATAAGCCATCTTGCAGCTTGAGTAGATTTCAACTATGTTTGTCACTCTGCTGAGGTTGATTGACCAGTAAAGCTAGCACAAGGAGTATACTAGTTTAGATATTACAAAACCACAGAGTTAATCTTAGTAGGTCTGTTATCCAGTCAAAATCTGAATGTATCCGGCGTATGTATGCACATTTACTCAATGATCTGTTCATACCTTTACTTCCTCTCCAAAATATGTATGGTGCACCTCTTCTTGGGCAAAGGTACCTGCAGGACAGATGTATCTGTATGCCCATACTTTCACTTCTGTGGAGAAATACATATTACAATTAAACAATTTAATGCATGCTTTGTTGGGGGATTTGATCGGTCTAAAAAGGAAGACAGCAATCGTGTGAGAGGTGCTTCTTCTCCGTCTCTCTGGTGTGAAGAATAAAACATAGTTTATAGCGGAGCAGAGTGAGCAGTGTGCCGTGCCTCACTCCTAATGTTTCAAGTTTCAAGTTTTAATTTCACTTGCACAAGTACAGTGAAATGCCTTTCTTGCAAACCCAAAACCCAACAATGCAATAATCAATAACAATGTAATACTAAAAAAAACACATGAGAAATAAGATGAAATATGAAGAACACAGTAAGTAATCATAGTATATAAAGGGTGAGTTCCAATACCATATTAAAAAATTGCAGGGATACTGGAGTGATGGAGGTAGATATGTATAGGGGTAAGGTGACTAGGCAACGGGATATTAGATAAACAGAGTAGCAGCAGCTTGTATGTGAGTGGGTGTGTGTGTGTGTGTGTAGAGTCAGTATAAATGCATGTGCATATCATGTGTGAGTGAACAGATGATGGAGTGAGCGTGTAGGGCCTGTGAGTGTGCATAGAGACAGTGCAAAAATAAAAATAAAAGGTAAATAAAGATACAAGGTTAACTCAAATAGTCTGTGTAGCTATTTTGTTAGCTATTTATCAGTCTTATTGCTTGGGGATAGAAGCTGTTCAAGTGTCAGACTTGATGCACCAGTACCGCTTGCCGTGCAGAAGCAGAGAGAATAGTACATGGCTTGGGTAGTTGGAGTCTTTAACGATTTTTTCGGGACTTCCTTCCACATCGCCTGACATAGATGTCCTGGATGGCAGGGAGCTCGGCCCCAGCGATGTACTGAGCTGTCCGCACCACCCTCTGTAGCGTCATGCTTTAGTGATTTGGACACCGAGGAAGCTCTCGACCTGCTCCACTGCAGCCCCGTCGATGTGGATGGGGGCATGCTCACCCCCCCCCCCCCCTTTCCTGTAGTCCATAATCAGCTCCTTGGTCTTATTGACGTTGAGAGAGAGGTTGTTGCTCTGACACCACACTGCCAGGTCACTAATGGGCTCCGTATGTGGAATGTGAAATGCAAGCCCAGAGTGACACACTTACTACATTTTCCATCTCTCTCACTCTACAGAAACACACTGGGCTGTTGCTGTTGCTGTTGCTGAGAATGATGTACATGGATCTAAGCAGTGTTGAGGTAATTGTACGCAAAATCTAGTTTTATCCACCATGAATTCATTTTATATTAACATGGAAACCAACTAAGAAAGTGTGTTAACATAGAAAAATACATCCCTATAATTATCCGCTTTAGATTTCATATAGGACTTTATTAATTGCACAGCAACAGTTTTTTCAACACACCAATAATTTCAACATCCAAACAAGTTATTTTGTGACATGTATCCCATCCATCAAGCATAGGTTCTCTTTGCTTTTTAACTGTAGTGACATTATCTTTGTAAACACCCCCCACTTTAAAGCTGCAGTAGGAGGTTTGGGTGAGGGAGGGGTGCTAGACAACAGGTCATCAAACATGCACAAACAGTCGTTTGAATTGGATCAATGGTGAAACAAACAAACCAACAACAACAACAAACCTTCAAAACACACAGCTTTGAGTCCTCAGGCCACCAACCTGTACAGTTGAAGTCGGAAGTTTACATACACCTTAGCCAAATACATTTAAACTCAGTTTTTCACAATTCCTGATGTTTAATCCTAGTAAAAATTCCCTGTCTTAGGTCAGTTAGGATCACCACTTTATTTTAAGAATATGAAATGTCAGAATAATAGCAGAGAATGATTTATTTCAGCTTTAATTTATTTCATCACATTCCCAGTGGGTCAGAAGTTTACATACACTCAATTAGTATTTGGTAGCATTGCCTTTAAATGGTTTAACTTGGGTCAAACGTTTTGGGTATCCTTCCACAAGCTTCCCACAATAAGTTGGGTGAATTTTGGCCCATTCCTCCTGACAGAGCTGGTGTAACTGAGTCAGGTTTGAGTGCCTCCTTGCTCTCACACCCTTTTTCAGTTCTGCCCAAAAATGTTCTATAGGATTGAGGTCAGGGCTTTGTGATGGCCACTCCAATACCTTGACTTTGTTGTCCTTAAGCCATTTTGCCACAACTTTGGAAGTATGCTTGGGGTCATTGTCCATTTGGAAGACCCATTTGACCAAGCTTTAACTTCCTGACTGATGTCTGGAGATGTTGCTTTAATATATCCACATCATTTTCCTTCCTCATGATGCCATCTATTTTGTGAAGTGCACCAGTCCCTCCTGCAGCAAAGCACCCCCACAGCATGATGCTGCCACCCCCTATGCTTCACGGTTGGGATGGTGTTGTTCGGCTTGCAAGCCCCACCCCCCTTTTTCCTCCAAACATAACGATGGTCATTATGGCCAAACAGTTCTATTTTTGTTTCATCAGACCAGAGGACATTTCTCCAAAAAGTACGATCTTTGTCCCAATGTGCAGTTGCAAACCGTAGTCTGGCTTTTTTATGGCGGTTTTGGAGCAGTGGCTTCTTCCTTGCTGAGCGGCCTTTCAGGTTATGTCAATATAGGACTTGTTTTACTGTGGATATAGATACTTTTGTACCTGTTTCCTCCAGCATCTTCACAAGGTCCTTTGCTGTTGTTCTGGGATTGATTTGCACTTTTCGCACCAAAGTACGTTAATCTCTAGGAGACAGAACGCGTCTCCTTCCTGAGCGGTATGATGGCTGCGTGGTCCCACGATGTTTATACTTGCGTACTATTGTTTGTACAGATGAACGTGGTACCTTCAGGCGTTTGGAAATTGCTCCCAAGGATGAACCAGACTTGAGGAGGTCTACATTTTTTTTCTGAGGTCTTGGCTGATTTCTTTTGATTTTCCCATGATGTCAAGCAAAGAGGCACTGAGTTTGAAGGTAGGCCTTGAAATACATCCACAGGTACACCTCCAATTGACTCAAATGATGTCAATTAGACTATCAGAAGCTTCTAAAGCCATGACATCATTTTCTGGAATTTTCCAAGCTGTTTAAAGGCACAGTCAACTTAGTGTATGTAAACTTCTGACCCACTTGAATTGTGATACAGTTAATTATAAGTGAAATAATCTGTCTGTAAACAATTGTTGAAAAAATTACTTGGTGTCATGCGCAAAGTAGATGTCCTAACCGACTTGCCAAAACTATAGTTCGTTAACAAGACATTTGTGGAGTGGTTGAAAAATAAGTTTTAATGACTCCAACCTAACTGTATGTAAACTTCCGACTTCAACTGTAGTATTGAACAGTTAGAGGTCTATATAACCTGTAAATAAGTAATTACAGTAAAGACCATCAACATTAAAAAATAGACAGGACATTATTGTTAATATCCAATTTATGAACGATAGCATGCATGTGGTGGATGCATCACCGAAAGCAAAATTCCTACAGTGAAAGCTCTCATTAATTATCTATGAGGAGTGATTACGATGGTATTGAGAAGTATGTGTTGTAGAAGGTTTATGTTTATATTTATGTAAATGTTTCCTCAATTACTATACAGATTACATGATTAAAAACAGCCAGATGGAATAACAGCCAACCGTGAGAAAAGGGGCTCAACGTACAGTAATGCTCGCAACATACAGGACAGAAACTTGTTTTAAAGCTAGAATGACTATGTATGCGGTTGATCCCACACACTACATGTCAGCACCCAAAGTCAGTGAGCTCACTGAAATTCTAAATAAGGAGTTACAGTCAGTATCAGAATGGGTGATTAATAATAAACTGATCTTAAATACATCTAAAACTAAAAGCATTGTATTTGGTTCAAAACATTCTCTAATTGCTAATCCTCAATTGGAGTTGTGCATAAAGCAGGGATCATCAACTACATTCAGCCGCGGGACGATTTTTCCTTGAGCGGAAGATCAGGGGCCCAGAACATAATTACAAATAATTTGTAAGAATGCAAATTGGCCACAAGAGGCCCAAACATATATCCTATTTGACTAAAATATAATAATTTCAAACCTTGCTTACATTTGTATACGATAACATTTACATTTGCATTTTTAGTAATTTAGCATCTGCTCTTATCCAGTATTGAGTGCATACATTTTTCATACTTTTTCGTACATAATATCTCTTTTATGCGTCGAAATACTTTGGAACAGATTTCCAAATTGGAGCTGATTTGCTGTTGTTTTTACTGTCTTTAATGTAAAAAATATATATAATCAAATTCGGCCAACGGGCCACCAGTTGGAGAACCCTGGCATAAAGGGTGTGACCATTAAAATTACCTTTAAAAAAACAGATCTCATGGAACGGCGGGGACTGTGAGGGGACACACATATTTTTTCAGTTTTATTGTTTGTATAATTCTTTGTTGTATTGTTTGTATATTGTTGTATTTTAAATTTGTGTGGCTGTCCTTGTGTATCAGTGTTTTGTTACTTGTCATGTTTTGTGTTTTTTTGTGGACCCCAGGAAGAGTAGCTGATGATTCTGCAAAAGCTGATGAGGATCCAAATAAACAAGGTTCCATACAAAAATGCCTTGCCAAAATCTGCTGGAGAAGACAGATTTTGGGCCCAGTTATCCCTCTCGCTTCGCTTCTTCCTCTCGTGTGACTCACACATTTCAGTTAATTACTATAGCTCCCGTCTTGGGCCAATCAGTGTAATTTTGTAAATGCCAGATCTCTATGGCCAGATGCATCATCCAACTGTGCTGTCTGAGATATCGCGTGTGACTAACGTATGAACGAACAGACGGACGGAGACCGATCCACAGTCCCCTCCCCGATTTCATCGTGGGGGACAACTTTTCATGACAAGTGTGCAATTTGAGTCATTTCTAATCGTAATGTACGAGGGGTAGCAAACGGCTGCCATCACTTACTCACACAAATCATGGGAGGGGATTCCATGTTATTTTTGGATTCATAGCCATGCTGATTCTCATAGCAATATGATTACAGAAGCTGAGCATCACATATTTCCAGTCAGTCAACATACAGGTCTGCCTTTGATCACGAGCACCACTGCATAACCCTTGGGAAGTCGGGGAGCTGAGGGTGCTGCAGCAACCCCAGAAAAATCACAATAAAAATATTAAAAAATATATATAGAGAGAGAGATTTTTAAATCTTCACAAAAGTAGTGCACTGGGCCTTTACTATTCCTGTATTAGCGGACCGATATAGCCGTCTATAGCGCAAAAAAATATATCTGCCCCCCCGTCTACGAAAATAATCGCAGCACCCCCAACCCCCAAACATCTTTCCAATGGCACTGGTGTGTGTGTGTGTGTGTGTGTGTGTGTGTGTGTGTGTGTGTGTGTGTGTGTGTGTGTGTGTGTGTGTGTGTGTGTGTGTGTCAACCACTGAGAAAGAAGAGTAACAAATATAGTGTCTCATTATATACAGGTCCTGAGATTTCCTTTTTTCCACCTATAATATCAGACAAGAAAGGCAAAGAGAAAACAACGGGTGGCGCTTCAGTGCAACATAGTCTTTTTTCATAGAGTCATTGATCTGCAGTAAGTGTCAACAGAAAGTAGATCCATTAAGGAATACTATCATAGTCAACTCTGGGTACCATGCCGGTGATCCCTGTCAGCTAATAAAGCTCTTCAGTATGAAGATTGGACTCGGTCCAATCAGAAAGGAGAGAGAGAGGCTGCTTCCTGGACTATGTCCAATCAGAGGAGAGCGAGAGAGAGCCTGCTTCCTGGAAGCAGTGGGCCGCTGTTATCTGGGTGAGACGGGAGGACTGGAGAAGACTGCAGAGTTGCGAGGTGATTGGATGGGGCTGGTGAAGACAGCAGAGCTGCGAGGTGATTGGAGGCTGAGGGAGTGGTGCGAGGGGGAGGTGGGGGACATCTTGCGGGGGCTGTTCAGGTCCCCGTTGTGCAGCTTCCACATGAGCTCCTCGTTCTCCATAGACAGCCGCTTGTTTACCTTGGATTCCTTGTGGAGAGACTCCTGCAGTATCACCTGCTCTGTGGACAGTTGTCTGGAAAGGGATGTCAAGAAAAGAGTTAGGGAGGAGAAAACACACATGGATGCATAGAAGCCCACATACAAACCAGTCCCAGATTGATTTAAGAATACAGGAGAAAGAGAGAATGAGCAGTTATTCTACCTCGACAAAGCAGCATGTCTGTCCATGCGGGCTTTCAGGTCCTCATTCTCCTGTTGGACCTTTATAAGACATTCGTCTAGCTTAACGCTTTTCTCTATCTACAAAAACAACAAAAACATTAAACATGACAGATGAAATCAACATTGTTTCTGTCTTAAAATGGATGTCTGTGAACTATATGTCATTGACAGTGAGTGGGTGGGGTATCTATGGTGCTCACCAGTTTGTCCATCTGCATGAGTTTGTGGTCCTGTTGGTGCAGCTGTTTGTTCTTGATGTCCAACACTACTTTGAGGCTCTCCAGCTCCTGTTCCAGATACAGGGAGTCTTTCTGGAACGGCACAACAAGAGGGTGAGTAACACTCAAGGTCTAACTAAGACTCAGTAAACTATAAAACACATGAAGAGAATATGTAAAGTCATTGTCGTAAACTATCAAACATATGTAAGGCAAATGTAGTAGCATCTAACTTCCAATCCTTCACAAAGATCCTATTTCTTCAGCCTGTATGAGTGTGGTAATTCCAGATGAGATTTGCCTCTGCCCATAACTGTTATACAACCATAAATCCATAATCAATTAACAGAGTGGTAGGTGACAGAAACACCACAATGTATAAGCCCTAGCACAAAATACATGTCATAAATGGTAAATGCCTTGAACCGCACAGCATGGGTCCATTAAAATTAATTATTGGTTATAAAACTATACACTGTGTGGTATTTAACTATACACCATGACTCCCACAGTCGCAAGCCGGCAGTGGGTCACTGGGTTGATCCTGGTGGTTATTGTCAGACTACTTATAGTCCACTCGAGTGGCACGCAGGGCAGTACAGGGGTCGTTATCTCAATCCCCTCATGTACATTGTCAGAATGCTGAGAGAAAAGGGCACCCACTTAACACTCATTATGACCAAAAGCTTTAACACAGCACTTTTGGGTTGCGTTGGAAATGGGACCCTATTTCCTATATAGTGCATTGCTTTTGACCAGAGCCTTGACAAGAGGCTCTGGTCAGAAGGAGTGCACTATATAGGAAATAGCAGTGGTGTAAAGTACTTAAGTAAAAAATACTTTAAAGTACTAATAAATAGTCTGAGTATCTGTATTTTACTTTATATATGTTTTTTACAACTTTTACTTCACTACATTCCTAAAAAACAGAATATACTTTTTACTCCATACATTTTCCCTGACACCCAAAAGTACTCGTTACATTTTGAATGCTTAGCAGGACAGGAACATGGTCCAATTCACGCACTTATCAAGAGAACATCCCTGGTCATCCCTACTGGCTCTGATCTGGCAGACTCACTAAAGGCAAATACTTTGTTTCTAAAAACAACAAAATGGTGACATCTGGTTTGCTTAATATAAGGAATTTGAAATGATGTATACTTGTACTTGTACTTTTAATACTTAAGTATATTTTAGCAATTACATTTACTTTTGATACTTAAGTATATTTAAAACCAAATACTTTTAGACTTTTAATCAAGTGGTATTTTACTGGGTGACTTTCACTTTTACTTGAGTCATTTTCTATGAAGGTATCTTTACTTTTACTCAAGTATGACAATTGGGTACTTTTTCCACAGCTGGGAAATAGTGTGCCATTTTGAATGCAAAAAAACACACTATACACTCGGGAGGTACTGTACGGCTAAGTTGGTAAAGCATGGCACTTGCAACGCCAGGATTGTGGGTTCGATTCTCGGGGCTACGCATATGTAAAATATATGCATGCATGACTCTAAATTGCTTTGGATTAACGCATCTGCTTTGGCATAAATTATATTATGAAAAAGGGAGTGCTGTTGCTTAGCGTCATTAAAGCCCAAATCACATCGAGAGATACCCGTCAACGGCGTCAGATTTGCTTGCGAGAGTAGGGAGCATTATTTCACATAGACCACGTAGTGTGTCACTTAATGCCGGCGTAATTGTCATGAAAAGCTAAAATAAATAGTTATATTCTCTTTTGAAATTGGAGTGGAGTTAGCCTACCCCATTCCTCGAGTTATCCAGCTATAGACTGCCTAGGCTATAGCCTATGCCTATGATCGAAATCAACACAGGCAGGCTATTGTTTTCAAATAAGTAGCCTATTTGTCAGAAAACCCTAGCCTACAGCCCAATAAATGTTTTAACTACAAGCCTGCTTAAAGTAGGGAAGATCATAACAATTCTCTAATTCCTTTTCTACAAATGACCCACTCAATCTCTAGACCAGATATTATTAATTTAAACCAAGGCACTCACTAACCATGCACTTTGTTTGAACTGTATCCATCCAATTGGCTGTAAACTACAACAGTGATATAGTCAAGAAATGACATTGACAACGTGATATATAATTCCGAAATACAATCCAGTTCATGAATGTATAGAATGTTGTTGAATTCATCCATTGCTACACCGTTTAGATATTAGCACGAGCCTATACATAATAATGGCACAGTCAGTTAAACTTAACACTAAACAGACACGTTTTCCTATATATTTGACAATTCCAGACGTAACAACGCACAAAGAGTCTATTTTCGGACACTTTATCAGCTCATTTTAACAGCATTGGTCCAGTAGATGCGAGAAAAAGACTTGCTTTCAAATTTGACGCACTATGACGCTGTTGATGCTCACGGCCAGTCTATTTTCATTCATTAACTCCCATGCGTTCTTTTCCCAGCGTGAGCATGTCCGTAAAAAATATCCCTGTGTGAGTTCGGTTTAACACTGCTTTCATAGAACGATATTGGAGTGGTCTGTAAGATAAGAGTGAATAGAGAGAGAGGTGTTGGCAGTAGGCCTACCTGATTTCTCTCAGCCAGCTCCCTCCTCCGGTCCTCCTCTGCTTTTAGCCTTTGGTTCAGGGTTGTGTTTTCCTCTGTGAGCTCTTGAATCTGGCCCTGAGGAACAACACACATCATGAGGCCACTATTTGTCACTATTTGATATTTTGAAGATATTTGACTGTTAGTTTGCAAGTGCACATCATGTACTAACTGTACATAACACCTGGCTGTCATTTATGAAAGTTGGCTAGACCAGGCCTATAGGCTAAACTGTACATTAGCTACATTTTATACTGTACATTGCATTATATTGTATCGTTGTCAAAAGAGATGATTGTTATTCATACCCTTTCTACTGCATCTATGTGGATGAGAGGAGTTGGTGCATAACAGCAGCACAACATTCCATATCAACACCAACCCAGATCCTATGGTCATATGTAAGCCGATCAAAACACAACGTAGAGGCAATCTACACCGGTCACACTACTAGAGAAACACTATTTTCATGCCACTTCGATACGGGAGTGACTTTTTTTGTAGCAGGTTAGGAGAATTTGCACAGCAGGTTAGGAAAATTAAGATAGCAGGTTAGGTTAGGAAAAGAGTTAGCAAAAATGTTCTCCTAACCTGCTATGAAAATCACTTCGTTTCGAAGTGGCATGAAAAGACTGTGTCCCCAATTTTCGGGAGCCAGCACGCATCTTTCTCATTTCAGTCAGTCAAATCAAATCAAATCAAATCAAATGTGTTAGTCACATACACATGGTTAGCAGATGTTATTGCGAGTGTAGCGAAATGCTTGTGCTTCTAGTTCCGACAGTGCAGCAATATCTAGCAAGTAATATCTAACAGTTCCACAACAAAAACCTAATACACACAAATCTAAGTAAAGGAATGGAATAAGAATATATAAATATATGGATGAGCAATGTCATTATCAGAGCGGCATAGGCTAAGATGCAATAGATAGTATAGAATAGAATACAGTATATTCATATGAGATGGGTAATAAAAGATATGTAAACATTATTCAAGTGGCATTATTAAAGTGACTAGTGTTCCATTTATTAAAGTGGCCAGTGATTTTCAAGTCTGTATGTAGGCAGCAGCCTCTCTGTGCTAGTGATGGCTGTTTAACAGTCTGATGGCCATGAAGGTAGAAGCTGTTTTTCAGTCTCTCGGTCCCAGTTTTGATGCACCTGTACTGACCTCGCCTTCTGGATGATAGCGGGGTGAACAGGCAGTGGCTCGCGTGGTAGTTGTCCTTGATTATCTTTTTGGCCTTCCTGTGACATCGGGTGCTGTAGGTGTCCTGGAGGGCAGGTAGTTTGCCCCCGGTGATGCATTGTGCAGAACGCACCACCCTCTGGAGAGCCCTATGGTTGTGGGCGGTGTAATTGTGCATCTGTAAAAGTTTGTGAGGGTTTTAGGTGACAGACATAATTCCTTCAGCCTCCTGAGGTTGAAGAGGCGTTGTTGCACCTTCTTCACCACACTGTCTGTGTGGGTGGACCATTTCAGTTTGTCAGTGATATGTACGCAGAGGAACTTAAAACGTTCCACCTTCTCCACTGCTGTCCCGTCAATGTGGATAGGGGGGTACTCCCTCTGCTGTTTCCTGAAGTCCACGATCAGCTCCTTTTTTTTTTTACATTGAGTGAGAGGTTATTTTCCTGACACCACACTCCGAGAGCCCTCACCTCCTCCCTGTAGGCTGTCTCATCGTTGTTGGTAATCAAGCCTACTACTGTTGTGTCGTCTGCGAACTTGATGATTGAGTTGGAGGAGTGCATGGCTACGCAGTCATGGGTGAACAGCGAGTACAGGAGGGGGCTGAGCACAAACCCTTGTGGGACCACAGTGTTGAGGATCAGCAAAGTGGAGATGTTGTTTCCTACCTTCACCACCTGGGGTTGGCCCGTCAGGAATTCCAGGACCCAATTACACAGGGCGGGGTTGAGACCCAGGGCATTAAGCTTGATGATGAGCTTGGAGGGTACTATGGTGTTGAATGCTGAACTATAGCCAATGAACAGCATTCTTACATAGGTATTCCTCTTGTCCAGATGGGATAGGGCAGTGTGCAGTGTGATGGCGATTGCATCGTCAGTGGACCTATTGGGGCGGTAAGGTGTCTAGGGTGACAGGTAAGGTGGAGGTGGTATGATCCTTGACTAGTCTCACAAAGCACTTCATGATGACAGAAGTGAGTGCTACAGGGCGATAGTCCTTTAGTTCAGGGTAAGAAACGGAAGGGGGAAAAAACAGTCAAGTGAGGTGCTACGTGGTCTAAATAACTAAACTGGCTAGTTTGCCTGTCTGTAAAGAGAAGGGCACTCTGATTGGATAGAGTGAAACCCTATTTCTTTGTCCACTCGGTGCTGGTGCCTCCTGTTAGCCTGCTACTATTATACATCAAATGGCAAGGACGATTGCTACAAGCTATCAATGTGCACACAGTTGTGGTCAAAAGTTTTGAGAATACACAAATATTAATTTTCACAAAGTCTGCTGCCTCAGTTTTTACGATGGCAATTTGCATATACTCCAGAATGTTATGAAGAGTGATCAGATGAATTGCAATTAATTGCAAAGTCCCTCTTTGCCATGAAAATGAACTTAATCCCCAAAAAACATTTCCACTGCATTTCAGCCCTGCCACAAAAGGACCTGCTGACATCATGTCAGTGATTCTCTCGTTAACACAGGTGAGAGTGTTGACGAGGACAATGCTGGATATCACTCTGTCATGCTGATTGAGTTAGAATAACAGCCTGGAAGCTTTAAAAGGAGGGTGGTGCTTGAAATCATTGTTCTACCTCTGTTAACCATGGTTACCTGCAAGGAAACACGTGCCATCATCATTGCTTTGCACAAAAAGTGCTTCACAGGCAAGGATATTGCTGCTAGTAAGATTGCACCTAAATCAACCATTTATTGGATCATCAAGAACTTCAAGGAGAGAGGTTCAATTGTTGTGAAGAAGGCTTTAGGGCGCCCAAGAAAGTCCAGCAAGCGCCAGGACCGTCTCCTAAAGTTGATTTAGCTGCGGGATCGGGGCACCACCAGTGCAGAGCTTGCTCAGGAATGGCAGCAGGCAGGTGTGAGTGCATCTGCACGCACAGGGAGGCGAATACTTTTGGAGGATGGCCTGGTGTCAAGAAGGGCAGCGAGGAAGCCACTTCTCTCCAGGAAAAACATCAGGGACAAACTGATATTCTGCAAAAGGTACAGGGATTGGACTGCTGAGGACTGGGGTAAAGTCATTTTCTCTGATGAATCCCCTTTCCGATTGTTTGGGGCATCCGGAAAAAAGCTTGTCCGGAGAAGACAAGGTGAGCGCTACCATCAGTCTTGTGTCATGCCAACAGTAAAGCATCCTGAGACCATTCATGTGTGGGGTTGCTTCTCAGCCAAGGGAGTGGGCTCACTCACAAATTTGCCTAAGAACACAGCCATGAATAAAGAGTGGTACCAACACATCCTCAGAGAGCAACTTCTCCTAATCATCCAAGAATAGTTTTGAGATGAACAATGCCTTTTCCAGCATGATGGAGCACCTTGCCATAAGGCAAAAGTGATAACTAAGTGGCTTGGGGAACAAAACATCGACATTTTGGGTCCATGGCCAGGAAACTCCCCAGACATTAATCCCATTGAGAACTTGTGGTCAATCCTCAAGAGGCGTGTGGACAAACAAAAACCCACAAATTCTGACAAACTCCAATCATTGATTATGCAAGAATGGGCTGCCATCAGTCAGGATGTGGCCCAGAAGTTAATTGACAGCATGCCAGGGCGGATTGCAGAGGTCTTGAAAAAGAAGGGTCAACACTGCAAATATTGACTCTTTGCATAAACTTAATGTAATTGTCAATAAAAGCCTTTGACACTTATGGAATGCTTGTAAATATACTTCTGTATACCATAGTAACATCTGACAAAAATATCTAAAAACACTGAAGCAGCAAACTTTGTGAAGACCAATACTTGTGTCATTCTCAACACTTTTGACCGCGACTGTACTATCTAACAAGCTGGGCTAGGTTAGGGAAAAAATATGAAATGCTGACGCGCATTCTGCCTGCTGCAAGTTGAGGACACACACACACAGGTCAGACACACACCCCTCCGCTGCTCCTAATCTGCAGCTTGTTTGGTCTTTAAACTCAGGCATATTAAAACAAACAAACAAATCTAATCACGAGTATCATCCGGTCTGATCAGACTATCAACTGTCAATTTACGGATACGAATACGAGTGTAGACCCCTTTCCAGTACACAACACACTGACATCACGCACAGATGCACGCGACTCTTGGCTGCAGTAAGAAAGCCATCGCCAAATGCGCCCATTCAACATAGCCTAGATTTACGTTTTTATTACTTCTAAACAAAATCACTTTTTGGGGTTCTCATACGCTTACAATTATGTTTTGATTCTTGTTTGAACAGTCGCTAAGATTACATTTGGTTGTGATCTTTGCAAAATAACTACAGTACAGGAAAAGGAGGACCGAGCACGCCCCCATTCTCATCGACAGGGCTGTAGTGGAGCAGGTTGAGAGCTTCAAGTTCCTTGGTCCACATCACCAAGAAACTATCATGGTCCAAACACACCAAGACAGTCGTGAAGAGGGCACGACAAAGCCTATTCCCCCTCAGGAGACTGAAAAGATTTGGCACGGGTCCTCAGATCCTCAAAAAGTTCTACAGCTGCACCATCGAGAGCATCCTGACTGGTTGCATCACCGCCTGGTATGGCAACTGCTCGGCCTCCGACTGCAAGGCACTACAGAGGGTAGTGCGTATGGCCGAGTACATCACTGGGGCCAAGCTTCCTGCCATCCAGGACCTCTATACCAGGCCGTGTCAGAGGAAGGCCCTAAAAATTGGCAAAGATTCCAGTCACCCTAGTCATAGACTGTTCTCTCTGCAATTATAATCCAAAAGTAGTGTGAAATGCGCTCATAATCAACATGTAAATAGAGGCTTTTTTTGCTGGTGTTCTGTAAGAACTGCCCCGTGTTCTGCCACCAACTTGCGCACATCGCCCTCGTGTGGCAATGTTTGCAAACACAGAAAGGGGTCTATGTGTCACGATCGTCTAGTAGCGAAGTAGACCAAG